TGTGCTGATGGGGCCGCATCAATGGGCAGGGCCAGAACCGATGAAGAGAACCAGCCATACGTACCATATGGCAGTACAGCTTGGGGCAAGAAATGGGACATGGGTTTCTAAGGCATGTGGAACGACTTTCATGGTGTCCCACGAGATGATGAAGGACAAAGCGCACCACACGCAGTACACCCCCTCTGCTCAACTGCAAGGGAGAACAGCGGGAATGCGATTGCGTGCCAAGGCTTGCGACGTCATTTCATTTACAGCGTAGTTGCCACCGGAGAAGGAGTACGCCAATCACGGGGCGATGTCCCCAAGAAAACATGGAATGAATGGAAGAGAGGTGTGATGAGACTGGTGGCAGATCTACTATCATCGTGGGGGGAGACATCAACAGTCGATTGGGAATGCACAGGACGGAAAACAAGGATTTGGTGGTATGTAGGCATTGTTCGGCCAAACATGCATCATCATCGGGACCGGTTGCAAGAGAAGTGAAACGCGACAGTGGCGCAGCATTCAGGATTTGTTGTGTACACGGCCTGTTGTCAGTAGGCACGGTGTTTCATGAGCGCGGGCCTACTTATTACTGTGTCAATGACGACAAGGTGCGCAGGAGCGAGATTGACCACATTGCGATGCCGACTGGATCCCCACCGCACGCGCGACGGCGCGCAGCCCTGCGGGGAGTGGCCAAACAGCTTCAATTCATCCAGGCGAGAGGACACCGAGACCACATCCCCACGGGTCTGGACATTGGGTTAGAACATCGTTTTAATTCCATGAGCAGACCCAGGCAGCAAAGGGCAGACGAAGATGTGGACCGCAACATGCCGATGTAGCGCTTGAGCAAAGGGCGTCTGCGAGCGCAGTTCCTGGGAGAATATGTCCGCCACTTGAGGGCCGCGGCCGACCCGCAGCCAGGCGGAGCATTAGCGGGGGCAGCTCGGAGTGCGACCCAAACGGGCGGCACGGCACTGCCCCCGCAGCTGCGACAGGCGAGCTCGGGTGGACCGCCACTAGCGGGGGGATCTCGGAGCGCGGACCCTGTCGCGCGAGCCGCGGCGGCTGGCCCGCAGCCAGGAGGAGCACGAGCGAGTGCGCTTCGGCGCGCGACCCAGGCCGACGGCTCAACAACGCCCCCCCCCCCAGCTGCGACAGGCGAGCTCGGAGGAACCGCCGCTGGCGAGGGGGCCTCGGGGCGCGGGCCCCGTTGAGCGAGCCGCGGAAGCGGAATGGGGGAGCTCCCAGACCGCCCCACAACTGACCAGGCGCGGAAGAGACGGAGCGAGGCCGGCAGAAAATCGACGAAGGAGATCTCCCCAGTCAAGGAGAAGAAGAAGAAAATAAAGAGAAGAGAGAGAGAGAGAGAGAGAGAGAGAGAGAATAAAAACAAAAATAAAAATAAATAAAAAAAAGAGAAAGATACAGAGAAAGAGAAAGAGAAAGAGAAAGAGAGGGGAGATAGAGAGAGGGGGGGGGAAAGAGGGAGAGAGAGAGAGAGAGAGAGAGAGAGAGAGAGAGAGAGAGAGAGAGGGAGAGGACAAAAAAAAAGGAGAGAGGGCTCCGGAGTGGCAGTCTCTCAGAATCTGCGACTATTCTCATTGGAAGAACGGATGCAATTCAGAGCGGACACGGTCGAATCAGAGGCGAAAGGGGGGCCGGGGGAGATCAAAGAGGAGCTAGCGCATATACCGAATGCGCTTCGGAGGCATAGGAACAACCCGGAGGCCGCCAGCAGAGAAAAAGGGACCAGCCGGGGAGATTGACAGGCGCACGAGAACAACAACCTCAGCGAGATGCACAGACTCCGCATCGAGCATCAGCGGAAAGGGAGAATACCAGAGAAGAGGTGCGATTTTTTTGGCGCGCGCCTGGTGGGGCACGGAGGAGAGGCCGAGAGAACTTGGGAAGCGCCCCCCACGATGGGGGTTTGGCTGCTGCATCGTTGGACAGGGGTACGAGCAGGAGCACGATGAGATGATCGCGGGGAAGATGCCACTACCACCGGATGGAGATTTGAGAGCGCAGGTGGAAAAATGAACATGCTAAAGCACTGCAAGAAAGCTGCACAAAGGAAAGCTTTTCCCCCGCGGGGCGTCCCAGCGGGACCCACATGGATGACTTTGGATCCCGCGGTCAACCTGAAGGACCCAGAGCTGCTGAGCAGGAAGCTGGAGGAGCAGAGGATTCGAGCAGCGGAGCAACGCGAGGACGAAGAGGACGCGGCCAAGTACAGCTCCCTCCACAAGTACAAAGTCGGCAGGGCGACACAGCTGCAGACGGGGAGGAGGGCAGGCAGTGCGCTGGGACGGACAGAGCGAGCTGACGGTGGAGAGGCGCTGCGAGCGAGTGAGAGGCAAGCGTGCCACCGGCATGAGAAGGTTGGGCCGGGGTCGCCAGCGATGGAGGCCGATGCAAGTCTGGACCGCAGGAGCAAGCTGGAGGACATCCTCACTAAGTGTCGCCAGTCTCAAGCCACGCCGCTGGACTGGCACAGGTCGATCTCTCCTTCTGCAGAGAAAGGCAATAAGAAGCAAGGCATTGGGGGCAAAAGAGTCACGCGTGCGCATTGCTCAATGGGAATGGCTTTCCACAGGGGGGTCCATCACAGAGGACAAGCACCGCGCCACCCTTGCGGGGCGCGAGGCGGTCTGCGGAATAGGTCAAGGGACAGCGCGGCGGCCTGCGTCGAAACTGCGCGATGGAGAGCGAGACAGGCAGGGATCAGCACAATTGCCAGCAACTACGACTGCACCAACGCCGTCGCGAGCACGACGCGCAACCTCCTGCTGGCCTCGGCTTTTGCCGCGTCGAAGGAGGAGGGCCGGCCCTGTGCAATCAAGGCGATGAATTATACATCAATGAGCATGGCATGCGCTGGCGACTGGGCCCTCGCGCTGACCGCCCAGGGCGCGCATGCGGGATTTGCCATGTGAACTGATGCCACAGATACTGCAGCAATTTGTTCGGCATCTGGCGTTAATCACCTCGCCAAGCGGTGAATGATTACACGCGCATTTTTCCATCGGCCTTTATGTACATACCACGTGTTAAATGTTTCTCACGCGTGCCTCACTTCGCGGTCCTCGAACAGTTTGTACAGGCACCGCGCGGGGATAGTTTTCTTCTTCGTTGGAATTGCGACGGCCGTGCGTGGCGGCATCCGGTTTCTCGGCGCAAAGTCCCGCCCGCGCGATAGAAACCTTCCGAAGGTCACAGGCCGGTGCACATATTTGCATCCTGTTAACAGTTCACTATGCATATATTAATCCGGAGCGATCAATAATGGGTCGCCCAGCAGAGGCTTCTGGAGCTAGGGGGTCCATTTTGTTAACTTCGTCTTCGTGACATAATAAGCCACCAGGGGCGTGATTTTTTTCTCCGCAGGCACAAACGCGCCTGGTTCACGGGGCGGACATTCGAGAAACCGAGCCCAGGGCAGCAGCCCCCCCCAGTCGCATCGGCCACGCGGCCGGGACAGATATTGGTAACAGCTATGATGGCGTAGCAGTCCTTGATCTCGGAACCGGGAGTGTGGCTGGATTCTGGCCGCCTCTCGGCTCCGCTCTGCCGAGGATGTGCGACGCGGCGAATGCGGCTGGCCTCTGGCTGCCTCGTCGCCCCGCGAATCCCCCCACGACGTTGCGCAGCAGCGTGCGCGCTGTCATGCGTCAGGGGTGAGGTCTAAGCGCCTTACCCACGATGGCTCAGGACGCCCGAAGTTCAGCGGGCCTCCGAGCAGAGAAAAACGATCTGGCCCGGGCCGAGCGGCATCATCATCCGCTGCTGCCTGGCGCCCTGGCCGATCACAGGTTAAGAGCCTTGCATGCCGCGCGAGCGCGCTCCTGAGCCGTTGCCGGACCGAGCGTTGGAGAGCGTTCGCCAGCGCGAGCGCGTCAGCACCTCCGCCGCCGGCGCCGGGGCGGCGCTGGCGGCTGGGCAGGGGCAGCGCGCGACGAACCACGGCAGCGATGTCGCGGAACGATCAAGCGCCGTTGGGAGCGGGGCTGGCGGGGAGCATCGCGGCCAGCGATTCCCCCCCGAACCCCTCCCAGTTGGCGCCCTCAGGGGCGCCGCAGACGACAGCAGCGCCGCTGCCTCTCGGAGGACCGAGTGGATTTGAGGGCCACCTGCAGGCGGCCGCCAGCGTCGGGGGCGCAGCCGCTCCCGCCGCCCTCCGGCCGCCGCCATTGGGCGCCCCGATGGCGATCCCCGCTCTGGCAGCGTCAGCGCACTGGCGCCTGCTGGCCCGGCTTTGCCGCCGCAGCCAGCGCAGCCGCGGGCAGGGCAGGGCGCCGCCACATTGCCGTATGATGAGCTTGATATGTCGACGGATCTTTCCAGGATGGTTGACATAGTGGACGTTGAGACGGAGGTATAAAGTAGGGCCACGGCCTACGAGGAGCGGTTGCAGGAGGCTGCTGTTGCCACGGGGCGTTCGGCGGTCCGGGCGCAGGAGCAGGCGCTCGCCGACAGCGTTGCTGACGAACGCGCCCGTGCCCAGCACGAGGTGCGCGCGCCGCTGGCGGCCCAGCAGGCCCAGCAGAGCCAGTTCGTGGCCGTGTCCGAGGCCATCACGAGTTACAACTAGGCGCAGTTCGTGGCGGGCGCCCGCACCGAGATGCAACAGTACGACGCGTTCCTCGCGCAGCAGTGCGCGGCGGATCAGCGCGAGGCCGCGCGGAACGGAGTGAACCGCGCCCAGAATTACTTCGAAGGGGTCTTCACGCAACGCGTAGAGGACATGTGGCGGCAGTGCCAGGACAAGTACCATAACCTTGCGGAGAGCACGATGGCGCACGGCCACGCGGAGCTGTTAAGGACCGAGGCCCGCATCGGCGGCGAGCACCAGGCGACGGCGGCACGGCTCCGGCTGGAGTCAGAGGAGCTCGCCAGCATGGAGCGGCGCGCGGCAAAGGCGGCGAGGTCGAGCGAAAGGTCTTTCCACCTCGCCTCGGTCAGGGAGGAAAGGCACGTCGAGTTCGTCGAATCAGTGGCGAGCGATCGAGAACGAGCGCTTCGCAGCGAACTGGCGGACCACGACCGCGCTCTCCAGCAGGAGCTCCGCGATCATGACTCGCGGCGGCGCTCCGAGGTACACCATGCCAGCGAGCAGGCGACCGCGGCGGCTCAGCAGGCGGCCAACCATGCGGCCATCGTGACCCGCGACGCGACGCAGCGCGAGGTGGACCAGTAGGCTGCGGAGCTGGCGGCTGCCAGCGACGAACGGCTCCGCGAGGTCATGAACGCAGAGGACGAGGCGATCGTCGAGATGCAGGACGCGCAGTCCGAACTCCACAGGTGGAGGGCCGAGGCAGAGGCCTGCCCCGACCAGTTGAACCAGGCTGCACTCCGACATCGGCATCCTCCAGCGCCGATCGCAGCCCAGTGGCAGCCGCCGCCTCGTCTGGTGACAGCACCGCCACAGTCGCTGGGGGCAGCCGCCCCAGGCCTTCCACGGGCCAGAGGGTTTCTGGCTGGTGTGGCGGAGTCTCGCGCGACCGTCGCCATGCCGCCGATGCCTGGGCCGCCCCTGGCGATGCGGCCCAGGGCCGAGCCTCCGACCGGCGCGGTGCCAGTAGCTATTGTGGGCGCCTCCACTCCGCAGCGGGATTGCAGAGCTGCCGGCCGGGCCGGCGTCGACACGCAGTCAACCGAGGAGTCTTCGTGCGAGGAACTCACCCGCAAGCGGGCGGTGGTGGGGCCCATCGACTTGGGTTCGCCACCCGAGCCTGCTGGATTTCGCAGTTGGCTTGCGGACGTGCGCACTAAGTGCACGGCGGCGTCGAACAGGTCACAGCAGCGCAAGATCAGGTACATCAAGGGCGCGGAGGGCTGCGCCGACCCAGCAGCGCTGCTGATCGCGCCGAGGAAGTGTCAACCGCTCGACGCCGAGCTCTTCTCCGCAGTGATGCGGTACTCAGCGGGAGAGCTCAAGCGCAAGCTGACGACGTCCTGGGAGCAGTGCTACAAGCAAGGAGCGCCTCCGTCAGGGCGGTGGGCTTTCTGCATGCTATGTGGAAGTACGTCCTCGAGCGAGGAACCGCTACTCAGGTTGACCTCGCGGCGTTGATGAAGCACGAGTTCCAGGGCGACCTCAGCCTGTGCCTCGACGGCCTCGACGCCATACTTGAGTGTCTTCGACTTCCACCTGGCGAAGCTCTTCATGCTGGTGCCATGCCGCAGCTGCAGAAATTCAAGCTTTTGGCATTGGATTTCGAGCTCTGCGATCGCGCCGACGAGGGCTCGACGGACAAGACCGTGCAGTTCCTGCACGACAGGGCCAGGGACTACGTCAGGCGCAAGGAGATGCAGGACGTCGTGGACTCCCTCCTGAAGCCAGCGCCCAGAGTAACGCCAGTGAGGCCGAAGGGCGCCGGCAAAGGTGACAAGGTCGTCGAAGGCGCTGGCGACGCCACCTACCAAGCCGAAGGACGCGTGCAGGAAGTTCGTTGCTGGCACTTGCGTCGAGAGCGACGCCTGCAAGTGCGCGCGCGCGCCGGGCCTGAGGCTGCAAGGCCAAGGCGAAAGCTGAGGCCGGTGCCAAGGCCAAGCCAGCGCCGAAGGCCAAGACTTCGGCAGAGCAGCCCCAGGAGCGCATTCCAGCACTGCGCCACCACGTCAAGAGGGGCAAAATTTGCAGGCACGGCAAGGACTGCATCTTCAGGCACTACTCCACCCCGCCGACCAAAGGCGACACCGAGGCGATTGAGCCCGGTACCCTCGCAAAGATGCCAACGGGCGCCACGGGGTCTGGAGCCGCCGCAGACACGCCCAAGAAACAGATGATCCGCAATATCCAGGCGTCTGTGCACGACGAGTGGGCGCTCGACACGGCAGCTGCCCTCGACGTAGCCGACCCCAGGGTCGTCGCTTCCAAGGGCAAGTCGGATGTCGCCACCGCCCTGCGGTCGGCGGGGGGGGCCGTCGACTCGAGCGAGACCGCCACTATTGACCTCGCGCCCATCGGCGAAACAATCACGGCGCATGTCTTCCCAGACGCGCCCAATGCTCTGGCCATCGGCTTCTATCGGTTGCCCTACGCGGACAAACCGTCCTTCATATCGCCGTCCGGGGCGCCTTGCGAGGTCGAGATGGACGAGAATTTCGCGCCGTTCTTTCGCAGTCGACGGCCTGGGCGAGGACGAAACGCGATCGCAGTGGCAGCTGCGGCGCTCTCGCCGGCCACGCCCGACCTCGAGCGGCGGCAGGAGAGCGTCGTCGACATCGAGCCCAGCATCCAACCGATACCAGAGGAGCCCGACGCAGCAGACAGTTCCGAGCGGACTCTCCTGGCAGACGTCCGGAGGGTGTTGGACATGGCCGACGGGAAGGAGCACGACGCAGTGGCCGACGTCATCGCCAACGATTCCAAGTTCGAGGTCACGCAGGTGGACGCCAAGGACGAGGGGCCACTTCTGCCCGCGCCACGGCGCGCACGCACCCGAGCACCAGAGCATGCACCTGCCCCGCTTGAAGGGGTGCCCGGTTTGTGACGACGCGAAGCACCTGAATAAGCATGAGCTCCGGCGCTCGGAGCCCATGGTGCGCGTAGCTGGCCAGGATGCCGTCCACAAGCCTTTCGGGGCCATGATGCACATCGATTGGCTGGAGATCCGCCGTGGCGCTCAGGCCTTCAAGACGGCGCAGCGCGCGCTGATGTTTACGGATGACCTCACCATGTTCTTCGGCGTTGGGCCGTCGAATTCCAAAGAAGCCAGCGCGGCGCTGGAGCTGATCCATCGGCGCGACGAGGTACCTCTTGCCATTCGGAGGTGGTAGTCAGATCGAGCAGCTGCGTTTCTTGCCGCATCACGGCGTGCGCGGTCACTGCGACCTCTGGCACTTTTTACGCCCGCGCCGTGGCGGCGCGCCCCGAGGGCGGAAAGGACGAATCGGACAGCGTCGGAGGGCGCGAAGGCCTTGCTCATCCAGTCTGGCCTGGACGAGGCGTGGTGGGCGATGGCACTGCTCTTGTGGATCGCCATGTGGAACGGGTTCATGGTCGGGAAGGACGGCGCGACCCCTTACTTCAGGAGGCACGGGGCGCACGCACCGCACAAGCAGTACGCCTTCGGCGCCCTAGTGCTGTTCCACCTGCACAGGCCAGCGCCGCAGCAAGGAGCGAAACCGCAGCATGACAAGCTGCAGTCCTGGCTCGTGCCCGCCGTGCTGATCGAGGTCACCGCCGGGCCAGGGGAGCGGTGGGCATCCAGCAACGGAGTCATCCCTCTGTCGAGGTTTACCTCGGAGAGTCGCGTCTCCAAGGTTGCCATCCGACGGGCGATCGACGTGGTGTTCCCGGAGAACGCCACGCTCCCCATCGAACAGCGCCTGGCGATCCAAGGAGCCGCGTAGACAAGACCTCACCGACGCCCCACGTCGCGGACGACAGCGGCTCATGGGAGATCCTGGAGGAGAGGGGCGACGTCGACGCGGAGGCGGAGTTGTTCGACGGGGCGTGGAAGGAGAACGCCGCCAATTTCGATTGGAACGTGCCTCTAGGCCACGTACTGGCTCTCGAGCCAGATACCCACGGCGTCGAGGTGCAGCATGAGGTCGTTGCGCCGGCAGGCGACTTCCAGCCAGTAGAGGCCGACGCGGTGGAGGCGAGGAAGGCCGTCGACGACATCCAGCCTGAGATCGCGATCGTAGACGGAAGAACCGCTCCCCCTGGTTGGAGGATCGACAGGTTCGGGCACAGCGACAGAATCCGCCTGGCGCACGTGCCGCCATGGTCACGACGCCCGCCAACATGCGAGCTCGAGGTGTGGGTTGGCGTCGGGCGAGCTGCTCAGGGGCGAGTCGATGCTCCCGGCTTCGCGGCGCAGGAGGCCAGAAGGTCTGCTCGGCTACAGGCCAAGCGAAGAGGCGCGGTCGCACGGGCCACTCCCCTGGCAGCAGTCGCGAGAGGTATAACTCCGATTGCCGAGTGCCCCAGGCCGCCAGGGAGCGACTTGGAGAGGGCCACCGCGACCCTCGAGCTGAGCGATCCGATTCCTCAGCCAGCGTGCCCTGCGATGGCGCTGCGCCCGTCAGCGACGCACCTCGCCCAGCAGGCTCGCAGCTTGATCATCACGGGCGACTGCCGTTTCCTATTGTTGCAAGTGGGGTGCTCCGCGGACGGCGAGCTCTGCGCGGCCGTCCAGGAGCAGCGCCTTGCGGTGCGCATCACCGCCAGGAATGACTTATTGTTGAAGTAAACGAAACGCGTGATTCATGGTTTGATCAGGTCTTGCGTTCTGCACGAGGTGGAGGTGCGCGCTTGGATCAGATCCCGCGCACGTTTGGATGTCCCCGGAGGTTCGTTAGCACGGCTCCGAGTGCGACCGCCGGGGACGAGAGCCTCACCAGCAAGCTCGTCGATGCGGCCATCCAGATCTGCGAGCCCGTGAGCAGGACAGACAACGCGTTTTCTTGGGAATGTGCTGAACGAGATTGACTGGTGCAGGACCCGAGGGCGGTCAACCTGTTGACTCGAGGGGGGCCGTTCATTTTTCGCCCCCTTCTGCTGCCGTAGGGATGTCTTTCGACAAGAGCATTCAGGGCACGACGAAGTAAGTCTTCATCAATAAAAGGTGGAGGATTGCTACGACACACCCAGGAATCTTCATCGAACTTGGGTCTTGCTCCGACCTTCCCAAGGGCTTCCCGGAGGGGTGCTTTCTGGCGTGCCGCGGCAAGTTTGCGGTTGCCAGCGCCAGATGCACGCCGTTGATGGCGAATTTGCCTTGGAAGGCTCTGAAACCTTATGCTCTCAAGGCGGTGCCATGCGCGCTCCCAGATCAAGGCGATGCCATGCGCGCTCCTAGAGCGCATCATGGAACGCGTGTTGCCTCCAGACCCTCCTGCCATGCCGCTGTGGTTTTGCCTCATTACCAGGCTCGTCAACATGAAGTCATATGAAGTCGCAGGAGGCTAAGAGCGACGACAAGGCCCAGTCGGCGATTGAGGCGGAGCTCGAAGGGCACAGAGACAGAGGCACCTGGGACATGTGTACGGTCCGTAGTCTGAAGGATCGGATGGCTGACGGCTCGTACAGCGACGTCGTCGTAGGCTTCGCATTCGTCATCTGGGGCTGCTAGAACAGCGAGATGGCCGAGGGCCAATGGCGTCACAGAGCCAGGGCGGTCTTCCAAGGAATCCGCATATGGACCAGAACGGGTCGGAGTGCGCACGAAATCTTCGAAGTTGTTTCCAATTCCCCCGCCAGCCTGATTGCGGCCAGGTGTGCATTGGCCGTGGCGATGCTGACCAACATGAGCTGCACCTACCGCGACGCGCACCAGGCATACCTCGAGGCAGCGATGGGGACCGACCCGGCCATGAAGATCCCCCTTGAGTTTTCCAAGGATTGGTGGCCAGACAGCTGGCATTACGATCGTGAGCGGCAGCGTGAGCAACCGAAATACCATGGACCAGCAGTTCCCTTTGTGCTCGCGCTCCCGGGACATCCCAAGAGTGAGAATATATGGAAATCCCACACCGACGCCGTGTTCATCGTAGAGATGGCTGGATGGAGGAAGGTCGAGGGCTGGCACAGCATCTGGACGGCAGCATCATGGCGATCTACGTGGACGACTTCCTTCTCGCGGCCACGCCGACGAACGCCAAGAAGCGTTGGCACGAGCCTGGGCAGCAGATTGTCTTCCGGGAGGCGTACGCGGAGGTGTTGCGCTACCTGGGCGCCTTGTGCCATTTTGACTGCGCAGACCCCGCGAAGCCGCTGAAGGTCCGAACGGTCGCCACCAGCATGAGCGGGCACCTCCGCCATTTGGCGGACAAGTTCAGGCTGGAGTTCAGAGACACGCTGCGCAAGGTGACCACGCCGCAGCCCGCAGATGGCGACTACAACGCGGCGGACGACGAGCTGGGCGCGTTCCTGGGGACGGCTGCTAGCTACGTCGCCTCTTGCTTGTATGCCTCACTGGTATGCCGACCCGATCTGTCGGTTGCAATCCAGAGGATGCGCAGCCGGGTGACGAGATGGACTGTTACAGACGATGTCGCGTTCATTCGATTCATGCCTTATGTCGCGGAATACCATGATCTGGAGCTCGTTGGCTAGCTTTGCCCAAGCGACCTTGACCACCCGGCAATTCGAATATGGCCCGACGCCGACGGGAACGGAGACAGCACCACGACGAAGAGCACAAGTGGCTTGCATTGCGAATTGGTCGACGTCGGGTCCAGGAATAGCTCCCCTCTGACGTGGGAGGTGTCGCACCAAACAGCGACCAGTAGCAGACCGTCCGAGACCGTCAGCATGAGCCCGGCGGCGCGGCATTGCGCTCTGCCGGTGCAGACGCTGATCTCGGACATGCTCGGCGCCCTCGTTTCCGTCGACTGCCGCGTGGATAACGCGCAAGCGTCTGCGATGTCTTTCACGAACCCACGGGCGCTCTATCGGGGCCATGCGCGAGATCCACAACGATCCAGAGGCCGCGGTCGACGCGGAGTACCACGCCACAGCCACGCACACAGGCGACTTCTTCACCAAGCCCCTCAACCCGGCGCCTTTTGCCGAGGCGAGGGCGCGCATCGGCCTGCGGCGCGCCACAGAGCGCAGTTGGCCAGCAGCCCACGACGAGACGCTCGTCTTCTCGCGCCTGCGGCCTGAGCTCGGGCCGATTCGGTTCTGAGCGACAGGGCAAGGGGGGGTGTGACATGATGCCGCAGATGTCGCGGCAATTTCTGCGGCACCTGACGTTCATCACATCACCAAGCGGTGAACGATTACACGCGCATTTTTCCATCGGCCTTTTACGTGCATACCAGATGTTATAAGTGATTCGCGCGTGCCTCAATTCGTGGTCCTCAAACAGTTTGCGCCAGCACCGCGTGGGGATAGTTTTCTCCTGCGTTGGAATGGCGACGGCCCCGTGTGGCGGCGCTCGGGTTCTCGGTGCAAAGGTCAGCCCGTGCGATAGAAGCCTTCCGAAGGTAACGTTTTTGTCTTGGGAATTATTCCACGGGCTTGCGCACATCTTTGTATTACTATATATATATATATACACATTCGGGGTGATCAACAATGGGTCGCCCATCAGAGGCTTTTGGAGCCAGGGGGGGAGGGGCATTTTGTTAACTGCGTCCTCGTGACGTAACAAGCCACCAGGGGCGTGACTTATTTTCTCCGCAGAGACACAAACGCGCCTAGTTCCTGGGGCGGACATTCGAGAAACCGGGCCCAGGGCAGCAGCCCTCCCTGGTCGCGTCGGCCATGCGGCCAGGACAGATCTTGGTAACAGTTATGATGGCGCTCCAGTCCTTGATCTCGGAACTGGGATTTTGGCTGGATTCTGGCCGCCTCTCGGTTCCGCTCTGCCGAGGACGTGCGATGCGGCGAGTGTGGCTGGCCCCCGGCTGCCTCGTCGTCTCACGCGTCCTCCCATGATGTTGCGCAGTAGCACGCGCGCTGTCACGCGGAGAGAGGCGAGGTCAAAGCGCCGCGCGCACGACGGCTCAAGGCGCCCGGAGGTCAGCGGACCTCCGAGCAGAGAAACAATCTGGCCCAGGCCGAGCGACATCATCATCCGTTGCTGCCTGGCGCCCCGGCCGATCACCTTACTCTGCGCCCGCAACAACTCAATGATACTTACATCATCCACGTGGGACAAGGGAACCAAGAAGAGAGGGGGAATGACGAGATGCAAACGGCGCACGACGCAATGACCCCGATAACGGAGAGGGAGCACGACCTTTCGCTCAACGCGCTCATGGACGACATCACCAATATCCACGCGGCGGTCTCGGTGGCTCCATCCCCCCCAGACGCTGGAGCAGACTGGTGCTAGGAAGGGCATCTCGGAGCACCAGCCAGCTCTAGGCGAGAGCGAGGGCATCTCGGCTAGTCGGGGCGCACCACCTGGGAGAGCGGGGGGGGGGGGGCAACCGCAGGCGAGCAGGAATGCGGGGCATATCAACGCCACCGCCGACCGCCTCGAGCGCGAGTTGACCTGGGGAGGGCGGAGTCTCAACCCAGCCAAGACCAACCACCTGGTTTCTCTACGGGGTCCAGGGCGATACGGAATCACGCGGCAGCTCCAGAGGGAAGGACGGCTCAAAGGCGCGCCGACGAGGGGGATGCGCGCTGTGGGACCCCACTTGCCTGGTGATCAAGGCTACGCAGGAGGAATCAGAAGGAGGTGCGAGGCCATGCAAATAGCCTACAGGCAATGCGGGTGCTTTTGGTCTTCCGATACATCGGGTATTATTAGAGTTACATATATAAGAAAACAAAAAAAACGTGTTCCAAGCCTTTGTATCCAGCGCGGGCCTTAGTGCGCTGTTGGCATGTGTATTCGAGGACCGCCACTAGGACGCGCTGGACCGCACCATGGCATCGCTACTGAGAAGGATGGCAGGAGGCAGGATGAGCTGGACCCAAGAGGATGGATAGACCAGATGCTACTCAAACAATGAATTATTCAAATGGTGGAGGATGCCGCGACGCGCTACATTATTGCGAATCCGCAGGCTACGATGGCACTTGTAATGGGCGCGGCAACCAGAGGATTACGGCGGCGTCCTTGCGGCGGTATTTGGAACATCGAAACTGGATCGCCTTTGCGGAATCAAGCGGATGGAGAATGGATGGGCACGCGTGGCGTCAACGCCTTGGGCTCAGCAGGCGGTCAGAGTCTGCCGGGCACTGGCGGAGATTAGCGGGAACGTGGCGAGCTGGTGCCCGCAGAGGCACTCCGACACCTCCACGTTCCAAACGGGCACAAGGGATTGGGACGCTTGGATTGGCACGGACCACGGCATACTTCGGCACGCTGGGCAGATATTGGGCGCTACCCTACCAGAGGCCCCCGACGGGGGCGATCTCTTCACCCCTTTCTGGCGCGACTGGGAGCCAGGCGCGGATGGGGTAGGCGCGCGGGGCGCCATGCGCTACAGCTGCGGCGCTGGCGGCGCGCAGGGGAGCGGCGCACCGCTGCCAACCTCTGGTCCCCAGCCTAGTGGTTACCAACCGGTGCCCCCGGTGCTTGAGCTCGCTCGCAACGGAAGGGCGCACGGTTGACCATGTCGAGAGAGCCACGGAAAGCCACGGGATCTCTTCTAAAAACAGAAGCTGCTGGAACCACCCAGTGCAGGAGCCCTCTTCCCTCGACTGCTCCCTCTGCGGCTATCGGGCTCGATCTCTCGGAGAGTTTCAACGGCGCGCCCGCTGCCGTCATCCAGGCCCCCGCAGCGTCTGGCCCCCCAAGGATGGCGAATGCCTTTCGGCGACTGCCCCCCCAAACGGGGATCCGACGCAGAGGCGCGGGGGGGGGAAGGACCAGTGGGCAATGGGCGCGGCCTGCGCCAAGGCGGCAGGGGGCGCACCTTCGGCCGCGGCCGCGGCAGCGGGGGGGGCAGCAAGGGCGGGGGGGGAGGCCGCAGGCCCCCCCGCCAGCAACGCCAGGCAACGGACGATTGGGAGGAGCCCGACCTCAGAGGAGCCATCAGAGGCCCCCAGCGCCTAGCCTTCCGATCCGCGGCAGAGACGCCAGAGACGCGAGAGATGAACCACCTGACCACAGACGTCTACCTCGTCCCATTCAGCACGTGGGCGTTTCGGAAGCCACTTGCAGCCGGCCGCTGCTACGGGAGCCTGGTCGGGGAGCGGGGCAAGGGGCGCCTGCTCGGACCGCCGGGCATCCGCGCAGGGGTGGCGCTCATGGAAGGCATCCCAGAGAGTGACGGAATGGCAGAAAGAGGACGCTGCACCGGTGGAAGCATCTACGATCTGGGCGACCGACACGCTGAACAATTTCTCGGGGCTGGTGGACGGCAGCAACGCTGACAGCCAGGCCACGGCCACCGAGACAATCAAGTTGCGCACGGCCAGCGAGAGCTTCAAGGCGCGCAACCGCAAGAATAATAACCCGAACGAGGACGAGCAGTTCTAGGAGGAGGGCATGGGCAGGGGGCGGCGGCACTGGCGAGGGCATCTCGGAGCGCAAGAACCCCGGCGCCTCGTGCCGGACCGCGCCTGACGCGGACAAGCACTTTCACGACCCCCTCTCCGAATGGCGCCGCTGCTCAAGAGGCCCCCCCCCGGTGCAGGTGGGCATCTCAGCAGCGCCCAATAGCGGGCAAGCGAAACGACATCTCCCCAAAGAGGAAAAAATGCGGAGGCAATCAGCATGGATTATGAGCCTCACTGAGCTCAGACACATGCCCCCGAATGGGAGGTGCTGCCAACTGGCCCTCGCATTTCGGGCCGAACGGGAAGCAGAGTTGCAAAGGAACGCCCTGGGGCGAGGCCCCCCAGGCAGCAGCCATTCCACCCGCCCCATTTAGTTGCCTACGTTGTTCCCTGTGACGACATGACTTTTTCTCGGCTTTCCCCTTGCCCCCCCCCATCTCTTTGTTGCCATGTGCAGTTGCGGCGGGCGACGCGGTGTGTTCAGGGCCTTTGCGTATTTTGCAGGCATCAGGCATACAACATACATGTAGCGATGAGTCACGGACAGAAGTGGGCGTTCAGGAGCGGGCCCCGACTCCAGAGTATTACGAGGTGTCTTTTGACCGCTGGACACAACGCGGGATTCCAGAGAGGAGACAATCCCCCGTCGATGACCATCTGCTCCCACAGCACATCTGGATCAACCGCGGCCCAGGTGCGCACTGGCACTAGCGGGGGCATCTCGGAGCGCGGGGCGCAGAGGGCTGCCCGTGGCCTTTACCAGCAGCGACAAGCTTTGGCCGCGCGGCCGGCGCGGCGAGGGGCACGGGAACTACAGGGTGATGGGGAGCCACAGGGAGCGCACCAATAACGAGTCAGGACGTGAACAAGACTCGAGCAAAGGGCCTAGGGCGGCTCAGTCCTCGGGGTAAATCCAGGCAGAACAGGCGATCATCGACGCAGAGGAGGGACCAAAGAGAGGCCACGCAGACAGGGGAGCAAGA